AGTCCAAACGTTAGACTGATGGTATGTAGTGGAGTCCAAACGTTAGACTGATCGTATGTAGTGGAGTCCAAACGTTAGACTGATGGTATGTAGTGGAGTCCAAACGTTAGACTGATGGTATGTAGTGGAGTCCAAATGTTAGACTTATGATATGTAGTGGAGTTAAAATTTTATACTGATAGTATGTAGTTTATTTGGTTTTCCAAATGGTTAACTTACCATTACACCTGCAATTACCATAAATCTGCTTGAAATGTTGTATCATCAGCAGGACAATAAGTAATTATCTGAAATTTGCCTCTTATGTCTACTTAAGTAGACATATGCTTTGCCCAATCTGATGACATACTTTCATCTGTCAAATGCCAGATACTACTTATTACATCTTTCAACAGTTTGTCTGCCTCTTGGTTCTGTGTTTGGGAGAAGCTTATGAACATTATTCTTGTGTCGATAAGTATGTGTGAACTGTTTCTTCTTTTATTTTTTTACAGTTCCTAAGGAGGATTCTTATGTTCTTGGGTCACTTCTGGTGACAAGCTGTTTTACTTCCTTTACTGCCTCAAATGTTTAGCTGGAATAATGCCTTACTTTGCTCTGGCAATACAGTTCGGCACTAAATATGCCTTTTGTTTTTTTAAATGCCAAAATTGTGTCTTTCATATTTTTACAATTGTGGAATAAGAAATTTTGTGTGAGAAGCAATTAATTTTAGAAGTCATCTGCACTTGCAAACCATTTCAACTGAATTGCAACCAGAGAGTCGGGACTTTTTAACTGATGTACACAAAAGTCTCAGAGATGACCAGAGTAAAGCTGATTGAATATATAGTAAGTAGTTAATTGTAACCATCCAATTGGACAAAGCTGATGATGGTAGAAGCTGTTCCAAGGGCAGTTCAAGGCTTGGAATATTGTTCTTATAAAGTTCAGTTAACCCTTGAGTGGCTACAATCTTTGAAAGAAAAAGGAATCTGGCTGATGACAGTTTTGCAGAGACTTTCCTATGGTTTGTGATCACGAGGACGAACAACTCTATCTAGTAGCTGTTGATCTTTTGTATCCATTCTTGTCCCTATCCTTGTGAATTGAAAACAGTTATTGATTAGAAGTTTCTGAAGCTTTATCTTCTGACCACTTGAAACTGTTGAACACCTTGTTACTGAAAACCACAGAAGTATTGTCTGAAACTTTGTCAGATGAACATTTATAGCTAGCAGCACTCTTTCTTTGTTAGTTATACTTGATCGCTTTTGATTTTTCAATATAAGCTTCATCTTTTAGTGTTCTCAAGTCCAAAAATTTAAGTCCTTATGACTCTTATTTTGGACATTTTCATACTTTTTTCATTAATCACAAATTTTTAAAATGTAAATCTATTCACTTCTTCACTGGTGTACTTGATTCTCCTTATCTCACTTACTGACTTTCACTTATCGCAGCCTTAACCAACATCATCACCACATGGTGTAAACATCTATACATGTTCACCACCTGCATGCCTACCAGTTTTTCTGATCAATGCTAGACACTCAACTGCATCCTTCTCTCACACATTATGTCCCCTCTTTCATTGTCTTCTAACCTACTCAGCCCATCAGTTCATTTTACGTTAAAATCCTCATACAAATCCATAATTCAACTTGTGTAAATAAACCTCTAGTGGGCTGAAAAAAAACAAAAGTTTCTGAGCATTGTGGGTTGTCTCTTGGCCCCAAATATTCCTTTGCAGCCTGGGAAGATCTCAAACCTAAATAACTGTATTGATTGGATTGGTGTTAGTTTCAAATGGCTCTAGCTGTCTTGGTCGAGTTGTGTTTTGGAAAGAGTTTTCATTCATCATATGCTCATTGAACAGCTTCTTACGAATTATTCAATAAGCTTCAAACTTCTGGATGGCCAAGTCAGTAATTGATTTTACATCCATCATTTGAAGAACCTGTGGCTTCCATCTATCAGATAGGAAATCCATCATGATATTATCTATGCTGGTTGGTTTTGTACAACAGGTTATGAATACATAATATAATGAGGAAATTGGCAGGGGGAAAAGGAGTTAAATAGAACGAAAAATAAACTTGGTTCAGTGTAGTTTTATAGATTCCTATCAACACTGTTACAACTAACAGGCTTTTCTACTCACCAGTTTGTAACACTAATCACAACTGGCAAATGTTTGGCACTAACTCAAGATCTCTTGAGATTTAACAGGACTTTATACATTTGTAATGATTATAATGTGTTATTCAGTCATTTAACCAGTAAGCTACATGCAGTGTACCAGAAATTAGCAAACTTTACACAAAGAAACGTTGTGGAAAGCAGTGCTTCAAATTGATCAACCAAACCTTAAATAGTTTCTGTGACATTTCCAGTGGAGCTGTCGGCATTTCTCTGAAAAGTTTTACTGTGTTAATTATGTACTCTCACGTACATAAAATGAGCGTTTGCATGTTGCATTAAGACGTAATAAACTTGTATTCTGTAAAATGTTAGAAGTGGTATTACATCACTCATTGACACATTTTAACAGTTTGATTGTTATACTTTTTTTATAAGGTTTATGATTGGCTGTGATGGCTGTGAGGAGTGGTTTCATGGATCATGTGTTGGAATTACACGTCAGAAAGGGCAACTGATGGAAAAGGAAGAAATAGAATGGCTGTGTCCAAAATGTAAAGAAGGTGAGGATTACAATACTGATATGAAAACCTATTGTAAACAAGATTTGTAGTTTCTTGTATTTTATTGTAAAGGAAACAATTTACAATAAAATACTAACCTAAAATACTAACCTTGTTTCCTTTAGTTTTTATTGTCAAGGAAACAAGGTTAGTATTTTATTGAGTTGTTATTGTAAAGGAAACAAGGTTAGTAGTTTATTGAGTTGTTATTGTAAAGGAAACAAGGTTAGTATTTTATTGAGTTTTTGTTGTAAAGAGAACAATGTTTATAGTTTCTTGTATTTTTATTGTAAAGAAAACAAGGTTTTTAGTTTCTTGTGTTTTATTGTAAAGAAAACAATGTTTATAGTTTCTTGTGTTTTTACTTGACCTTCTCTGTGTTTACTTATCTTTTAAAGAATGGAATAAGAACAATGAAAAAAAAAAAATAGACAGCGACAAGAATTCAGGTGCTATTGGTTGTTATATTTAAGTTTGTTCATTAGCTGCTATAAGTCCAACCATGCTATAAGTACCGACCCTCTTATATTTGTTCATTAGCTGCTATAAGTACCGACCCTCTTATATTTGTTCATTAGCTGCTATAAGTACCGACCATCTTATATTTGTTCACTAGTTGCTATAAGTACCGACCATCGTATATTTGTTCACTAGCTGCTATAAGTACCGACCATCTTATATTTGTTCGTTAGCTGCTATAAGT